ATGTCGTTCACTATACGTCACTCTATCAATGCCTAGATTTTATGCAGCATGTCACTCACTATACGCCACTATATCATTACCTAGATCATATGCAGTATGTCACTCACTATACGTTACTCTATCAATACATAGAATATATGCAGTACGTCACTCACTATATGTCACTCTATTAATGCTTAGATTGTTACTATTTTCGAACTATAAAAACATGATTATTTATAGACATATAAATATGTAAAATATATTACTATAAAAAACTGTACAATTGGCTAAGCATTTAAACGATATTTAAATGTCACTGGATCCAATCTACCTCTTAAGAACAGATACTTTCACCCACACAGTTAAGGACAAACACATAACTTGTACCCTTTTTAAATCAATTTTATATTATATTCTCTCTTTTTTCTTCTGATTCTGGTTTGGATTCTTATTAGAAAGGAATTCGAAAAGAGTAACTGAATAACGAAATTGTACAGACTTAGTTACTCATTGGAAGGAAGAAAGAAATAAACAAACAGAATATTTGTATGCTAACTCTTTTTTATTTATTACTGTTTATTATTAAGGTTTTTTAATCGAAGATTTCCTGCATGTGTGCGAGCGCCATCTACTGTTCAATCAAACATTTTCTGTCGGGCATGACGTCATAATTAATAAACTATATCGTCATGACTCGTACGAAATAAAACGAGACAAAATTAAACAGTATAATTTATAATAATTTATGCTAATTTATTCAATCGCCCCAATAGTGTGGTATAAACTACTTGCGAGTCATAGCAACACAGAACATTCTGTGACGTAGATCCGCTCCAAAAAATAAACGCTTTCACCTCAGTTATGTTTGGTAATCAACTTAATCATACTCACAAATCATGCACAAACATGCATACAAAAACCCGGTAATATCATAAAATCATCATATAAGAGCAACACTGTGATTAAGAACCATAAACTTCTACTTCACATAAAGTTAACCAATTGTTATGGTCTTTTAGTTGTACACCAACATAACGACCACTCAGCTGACAATCAAAGGGAATTCTTTCTTCATATGTGTTAGAATTCCAGTCTATTTGAACACCACATTGGTGATTTTGGCTTATATCGGCGTTTTCTCCAATCAAAACTACAGCACCATCAATTCTATCTTCTGTAATATATAAACATGGCAATTTTCACTTATTAATAGAAATGTGAAATTATATTTCACCTCGCAGGGAATAGTGGTGAATAATTCAAAAAAACAATGTCATCACCATCACCATCAATCCAGACCATAGCTTCATCTATTGTTTCAGCTGCAATATAACAGACGTACTTTTCTCTGAATAAGTGAATGGGAATGTATATTGAAGCTTGTAGGCTATATAGTGGTTATCATTCAATGATCTGAATGTTAACATCAATCAACTTCATTCACTTAGTCAGCCGCAATATTTAAATGAATGATTTCTAAACAGT